TTTAAATTAGGGTAGAATTAATGTATCCTCCTCTTACACCAGATGGTTTCAAATCTTCCAACAAGACAAGCAATTAGTACACCCTTCTAAGATTGAGATAAGTTATGGTATTAAACTTATTTTAAGCCATACAATGACTTTAGTGTAGTCACTATGTATATATGCATGTGTGTGCGCATGTATGTATGTGTGTATGTATGTGACATGCATACGTAAGTCAAAATTTATTAGTCATTAAGTAATGTATGATATTTAGTAAATCATTTTTTCGCCAAGTCAAAATTTTATAGAATTACTTTAATATATAGTTTACACCATTCGTATAATGTTAATTGATGGAATCTAATTAAGCAAGGCCATGTATGTAGTGAATGTATGCTTTTGAGGTTTGTGAAATGAAATGCACATGTGAAAACATCATATGACTTTGTTTAATCGATTTCAAAAGATAATTATTATTACATATATTTACTTTCATCATGAATAAATATTTCAAATCTTATATACCGTGTGTATGCATGTGTTTGAGTGATGCACATGTGATATTATTTCATAACCGAAGTCGTGTTTAGGAAGAGTGAGATTGTCCTAAGAAATGGACAATAATTACTCCTCTAGATTTTTAATAAGGTATGATCGGAGATGATAGATCAAGATGGAGTGAGTTTATTAAATGCGGGAGACCGTTGAGAAAGTGAATTAAATGTAGTATAAGAACTGACGAGTAAGATAATTTTTTTGAGATAGAACGAGAAAGTATTATGGATAGGTGGATGGTAGGAGCGATACATAAATTAATATATGATAGATAATTAATAGAATGAATGTAGTGTGTTAGTAGGGATTAGTTCTGCCTACGTCCCTTAAACATACATGATCAAATTTGACAGATTTGAGGATTAATAAAATAAAAACTGTGTGATTGATGTTTGTGCAAAGGAGATATAACTAACTTAAACCACAACATCTTTACTTAAAAAAGAAAGGGACAAAATTAGTTGAACAATGAAAAAGGAAAGTTGACAAAATTTTAAAGGCAGAGAGAGTAACATATATATGTTAGTGTATTAGCTGAAGTAAAAAAACTAAGGGTATTTAGATAAGGAGTATATTAGTACCACACATAAAAATCATGTGAATTAGATAAGTTGGTGAAATGACTTTGCTTGTGAAATGAAATGTACATGTGAAATATCATATGACTTTCTTTGTTCTATTTCAAAAGATAATTTTTACTACGGAGAATTACATATACTGACTTTCATCATAAGTAAATATTTCAAATCTTATATGCCGTTGTGCATGCAAGTTTTTAGTGATTGAATTGACACGTGATATTTTTTCATAATAACCGAAGTCGTGTTTAAGAAGAGCGAGATTTCCTGGGAAACGAATAATAATAATTACTCCTCTAGATTTCTAATTAGGTATGATCAGAGATGATAGATCGAGATGATGAGTTTAATAAATAGGGGAGACCGTTGAGAAAATGAATCGAATGTAAGAACTGATGGGTAAGATAAAATTTTAGAGATCGATTGAACGAGAAAGTATTGTGGGTAGGTGGAGGGCCGGAGGGATAGATAATTAATAATTAATACTATGTATAATTAATACTATGTATAATGAATACTATGTATAATTAATACTATGTATAATGAATGTAGTGTGTTGGTAGCGATTAATACTCCCTCCGTCCGTTAACAATATAATTTTTTAAAGGATCAACTAGTGTTGTTTTCATATACTTCATCCGTCCTTTACAACTTTGCCAACTTTACTTTTTTCGATGTCCCACTAACTTTGCCACTTTTTCTTTTAAGCTAATAAATAATGGTTCTAGTTAATTTTATCTCCTCTGCACAAACCTCTACCACAAAGTTTTTACTTTATTATATCTTGTCTCGGTCAACTGCTTTATATATAATTGGACAAACTAACTGCACAATTCTATCTCACCACCTGTTCTTGTATACTCCGTATAACGTAAGATCACATTTATACTACTCTAGATTTCTAATTAGGTATGATCAGAGATGATAGATCGAGATAATGAGTTTAATAAATAGGGGAGACCGTTGAGAAAATGAATCGAATGTAAGAACTGATGAGTAAGATAAAATTTTAGAGATCGATTGAATGAGAAAGTATTGTGGGTAGGTGGAGCATTGGCATAAGTATGTGCACAGCCAGTAATTAGTTGACAAATTAGTTGACATCCAGCATTATATATAACCCGGCCAATCTGATCTCCATACATACAAACATAGTAGACATCAAGCATGCGGCCTCAGATAAACAAAAGGCTGGCCTAGCTTGTTCAAGGGCATTAGTTATGAAAAATATTCCCAGTCTCTCAAAACTTTGTCATGATATAAGTTACTATAGTTACTATAAGTATATTCTCATGATATAAGTACAACAACATCCAAGCCTTAGTCCCAAAAGATATTGTGGTCGGCTAACATGAATCGATACATGATATCACCGCCAAAAGGAAAAGAAAGAAAATAAAGATAAAAATGATAAAATAAAAAGGATACAAATAATGATTCTATATATATAAGGATAAAAACAAGGAAAAAAAGATGAGGGGAAAAGATGATACGAGATCACTCCTCCACACGAATACCCACCCTCCACTTAGCTCTCTCCAAAGTCATGCTTCATCCAACCCCAGAAGAGGCATATCACTTCGAACTACCCTAACCCACGTTTGTTTAGGTCTTCCTCTCCCTCTCTTCTCTGCCTCTTCTCCACACATCTCAACTCGTCTGATAGGTGCATCACTCGGTCTTCTACGCACATGACCAAACCACCGTAGGCGCGACTCCCGCATCTTGTCTTCAATAGGTGCTACTCCCACCATTTGTCTGATTGTCTCATTCCTCCCGTGGTTCTTCCTAGTATGCCCACACATCCAACGCAGCATGCGCATCTCTGCCACACTCATCTTTTGAATGTGACATTGTTTCGCCGTCCAACACTCTACGCCATACAGTAATGCAGGCCTAATTATTGTCTTATAAAATTTACCCTTCAGTCTAGTCGGCATACCTCGATCGCATAGAAATCCTGACGCACTCTTCCACTTAATCCACCCTGTTCTGATTCTATGAGATACATCTCCATCTAACTCACCGTCCTTCTGAATTATGGAGCCCAAGTAACGGAACATATCGCTGACTGGTATATCCTTACCATCCAGAGTAATTCCGCTATTACTCTCATGATACAAGTATGCGATAAAATTTATGGTTAAAATTTATGGATAAAATTTATGTATATAAGTATATACAAAATTGAAGTCACTAAAAGTTACTAACACATTTTTTCACCCACCATGATTATAAATATGTAATAGGAATTATTTATAAATTAGATTCGTAAAATATATTGATTTTATATTAAAATTAATTCTTTCGAATTTTTATGGGTCTGAATCGGATTATAGATTTTAAAGCCTGTTTAAGAGTCCAAATTTTTGGGTTCGGTGCGGATTTTTTTATTCGGGCCGATCAAAAAGAAAAAATCTGGACCGGGAAGAATATCTGGGCCGGGCTAGGGTCATTTTCCGGATTTCGATTTGGGTTTTCCCACCTGTAACTTTAAGGAGCAGAGTAGAGGGAGTATAATCGTTGGGGATTTTAGAGAAGCATTTATTAGTTACATACAAATTATCAATCCTTAAATTTTACTCTACTTAGAAAAATTGAACAGACTAAACAGGGACTGCTGAGATTGGTCGGTCCACCGGAACAGGAAACCTTGGATACCGGTCTCGGCCCAATCCTGCCCCTGAACCGGATCTAGGCAAAATATGAAACATAGATGACATCAATTAAATTTATTTACTATTATAGAGTATATAAAAAGTCCATTAGAGAACAACCATACATACATAGGACAAAAAGAACATAATAACATTGAAACTAGCAGCCAAGCAGTATCAGCAGGTAGCAATACTCTACGATTCCATTTCAGTCTCGCCACACTTTGCCCAATTTCTTGTGAATCTGAACTAAAAATATGAAACAACACAATTAGATTATCACAGAAAATGATGAAATAAACTAATCAAATAATTACCATAAAAGAATTAAATAAACAAGTTCAAAAACCAAGTCTAAGTTATGATTTGATACATGCATGATGATCTAGGATGAGGAGCTGATTAAGTAGTATAAAGCTCCGGGTGTCAGGAGATCAATGAGAAATCCCATTTCATCCGTTATAACAGGCTGCCCAGAAGAATACTCTACAAGAATTGCACCTTCACCGAACATCTCCTTTACGTTGAAAATTTCGTTCGGTGCGTCATATACGAAGTCATTTACCATAACCATTGCATTCATCGTCTCACCTTTAAAAAAGAAATGGAAGTAAATATGGGTAAAACATGAACACAATTGTAAGCAGAGTACAAAATTGTTAGTAAGAACATAATCCAATTCAACCGAATTTGAGCCTTCCAAGATCATGATCAATTAACAGTTAATCCCATGCTGCACATATTGAATGTAACGGTGATTCATAAAACTACACACCTGGGAGAGATGGGGGAGGAAGACTAGCAGAAGCAGCAACAAATTCTTGATTAAGGTTGAGATTAAAAGCACCGTCGTCGTTGACGTAATCAGCATTGCAAAGGGAGTTGTTGAAATCCACCATGAACTGGCTGCCAGGCTCAAATTCCCCAGCTGCAGATGGCAGTGATGGGTTTCCGTTGGTTTCAAGATCAGCATAATAAGAAGCGAGCAAATCGTCATCTTCTCCCTCCAAACCTACCCAATCGGTGAAACTTTCCGAGGCAGCGGGATCACCGAATGGCAGCGGCGTGCTGGGAAGATAGAAGTACGGCGGTGGCGGCTGTTCAGGATTGATAGGGTTCCAGCAGGAATCATCTGGTGTGGGCAAGGGCGAGGTTAGCGGGGCAACAGTCGGGGAGACGAAGGTGTTCGGCAGCGGAGGCAGCGGGTTTTCTACATGAGGAAGCGGCACGGGATCCTCATCACATTGGCGCCGGCGCCTCAGGGTTCTTGCCTTTCTGTTCTGGAACCAGTAATATGTTGGAATAATCTAAAATTTAGTTAGTAATTATTTGGTTCACTTATTTATTAATTAGTTATTTTTATCATTAAAAAATAGTTTGTTTTTTATCATGTGCGTGGGTCATGTTGTGCAATTTCACATTTGAAAGTTTCCTCCCTTTTGATAGGTTCATGGAGTAATAATAGGAGTAGTGGCTAGAAACTGATGTAATGCCTTTATATACTTTCCAGCTTTGTTATCTTTTACTACTTGAAGTAATATAATGAAAAATGGGATGCTCCCAATATCTGCTCTCTATTTTTTTTTCGTTTACACCATTACAGTTACCGGTCTTTGAAGCCATCATAATAGACACTGGAATCATTGACTTTAGCGTACCCCTCAATTTCCATTCTGATACGAGCGATATCTTCGCGCGGAGGAGGGATACTGCAGCCGGAGTTAAATACGGCTTCCAGGATCTTTAGCTGCTCCGGCGTCGGGATCCATCTCTCCCTCATGATATCCTCAAACCTACCAGAGGATCGGGAAGGAACTACCATTGATGAGGAGCTCTTCTCCTTATCCGGCAGTGGATTATTGTTGCGCTTCACGCTGCAGCCTCCATTTACCTTGAACAAGCTAGGCCAGCCTTTGTTTAGCCGAGGCCGCATTCTTGATGTATGTCTACTATGTTTGTATGTATGGAGATCAGATTGGGTTATAGTGCTGGATGTCTACTATGGGTGTGCACATATTTATACCAAAGCTCCATTGACTTCGCTGCATGAAGGGATTTGCATCATAATCCGTATATTAATTGTTCTGCTTGAGAAGCAGTTGTAGTATAAATATTATCATACGTTATATACAAAAACAGGTGGTAAGAGAATATCTGACGTATGTTCGGTGGACAACCTTGGGGGCTTGGGCTTGGGGGCTTGGGGGCGCTTCTATCCCTAAACTTTAGTACTCACTCTGTCCCGAATTGAATTACAAACATTGACCGGTAAAAGGATTAAATAATGACAATAAACGATGCTTGTTTTTTACCTTTTTGCTCATGTTTCTAAAAGTAGATGTCTTAAAGTTAATAGGGAAAAAGTAAAAGTAACGGTAAATTTGTCACTTTATTCTTATTTACATACCTAAAATAGAAAGTGGAAAACCATTTTGGGACATCCAAGTTAGGAAATTTTGCAAATCAAATTGAGACAGAGGGAGTATTAGAGTACTTAGGATAAAAATAGTGGTCCCCTGTCCGGATAAAAAAATACTCCCTTCGTTCCTTATAACTTTGTCAACTTTCCTTTTTTGGTTTTGCTAAAAACTTTGCTACTTTCCCTTTTAGTCAATCAATTTGTGGCTTCTATTATTTATCTCTTCTCTGCACAAATCTCTACCACACAGTTTTTACTTTATTATTTCAACGTGCCGGTCAAACTTGACAATCCTTTTAGGGACGGAGTGAGTATTTCGTATAACTGTTAGATGAGGTAATAATCCCGTCAAAGAGCACAGGAAAAGAGTTATAAGAAATTTAAACGATTATAGAACTATGATGCAATGATTGCTTACGGTTAGACATGTTGTTTACACAATCATCATTTGAAGTGGCATTGGTGGTGTTCTTGTGAACTATGAATTACTGTATCTTTGTTCATATTAGAGGTCAAGGGTATGATGAGACTTCCAATTTACATGGCGAGTTTAATGAATTGATCCGAACGATGTCTTCCCGCAGAGAAGGGATACTACAGCCGGAGTTAAATACGGCTTCCAGGATCTTTACCTGCTCCGGCTTCAAGAACCATCTCTCCCTGATCTGATGAAATCCGGCATGGATCCTATCCTCAAACCTACCAGAAGATGAGGATGAAGAAGAAGCACTACTACAAAAATCACCTCTTTCTACATATGATATTTGTTTGCATAGATCATTTTTTGTAATCTAAATTCTTTCTCAACAAAGTTGATTTGTGGCCATATTTGTAGGGCAAAGCTTGAAGGGAAAGAACTTAGCCCACAAATATCGAGCACACAAACTAAATTTGTAGGCTTAACGTACTCTTTTGTCACAAATATATTTGTGGAGACACATTTTTTTCTGATAAAATTTAATTATATATAGGGAATTTGAAAGACAGTCAGACAGACCATACAAATACTTCCACACACAGACAAGATGCATATGTGAGTATCAATTTGTATGCTAATTAAACAACACTCATTTAAACTTACAATAATCTTTAACAGTATCATAATTCAAAGCTAGATCTATACTCCCAATAACTTATGTATATGTAAAATAAAAGATATATACATATGTTGAAAAGTCAAAAAGAGCAACCATAACTAAATTGTTAACGTGTACATTATTATTATTATTATTATTATTATTATTATTATTATTAGTATTATTATTATTATTATTATTATGTACACATATTTACGTAGCAGTACATCCACGCATGGCTCTTCTGTTACTACTTCTGCGGCTACAAAGCCTTTCTTATCTTATTATTAGTATAGCCTTTATCATTGTATCTAGATAGGTTTGTGACTCATAGTCACACATGTATAGCGAATTCCGTTAGTGATGTATATCTCCAGAGTGCTACTTAAAGGCCTCTGCACATACGAATGAAGGTACAGAGAATTCCCTCAAATTATTCCTCAATAATTCTCTAACTTGGTATCAGACTACGATCCTTCTTTCCTCCATGGCTTCTTTTCATCCCGCTCTTGCGGTCACCAACATCCGGAATTTCATCCCTCTTACCCTTGATCTTGAACACGTTCAGTACTCCACTTGGGCTGAATTGTTCAAGATTACCGCCAGAGCCTACCAGGTTATTGACCATATCCTTCCCAATGAATAACCCACTTCTTCTGCTACCGGCTCTGATTCCGATGCCGCCAACACCGCCGGCAACCAATCTCTTTGGACCCGGCTTGATGCTTTAGTCTTGCAATGGATTTACGGCACAATCTCAAATGACCTTCTCCACACCAGCCCAATTCTACAGCCCAGGCAGCCTGGGAGCGACTCGCTGACATCTTTCTCGACAACAAACACTCCAGGGCGGTGCATCTTGAGAATCGTTTCTCAAATACCCGCCTGGATCAATTTTCTTTTGTTGTTGCGTATTGCCGTGCCCTCAAATCTATATCTGACAATCTTGGCAACGTTGGCGCTCCCGTTGACAATCGAATATTGGTGCTTCGTCTTGTAACCGAATTGACTGAATAATATGACACTGTTGCCTCCTTCATTCAGCAACATGATCCTCTTCCGCCCTTCTACAAAGCTTGCTCCATGCTCGCCCTTGAAAAGGCACACCGGGCTCAACAGTCTTGTTCTTCTACAAAGCTTGCTTACGGTTAGACATGTTGTTTACACAATCATTATTTGAAGTGGCATTGGTGGTGTTCTTGTGAACTATGAATTATTGTATCTTTGTTCATATTAGAGGTCAAGGGTATGATGAGACTTCCAATTTGCATGGCGAGTTTAATGAATTGATCCGAACGATGTCTTCTCGCAGAGGAGGGATACTTCAGACGGAGTTAAATACGGCTTCCAGGATCTTTACCTGCTTCGGCTTCAAGATCCATCTCTCCCTGATCTGATGAAATCCAGCATGGATCCTATCCTCAAACCTACCAGAGGATGAGGATGAAGAAGAAGCACTACTACAAAAATCACCTCTTTCTACATATGATATTTGTTTGCATAGATCATTTTTTGTAGTCTAAATTCTTTCCCAACAAAGTTGATTTGTGGCCATATTTGTAGGACAAAGCTTGAAGGGAAAGAACTTAGCCCACAAATATTGAGCACACAAACTAAATTTGTAGGCTTAAAGTACTCTTTTGTCACAAATATATTTGTGGAGACGCATTATTTTTTCTGATTCAATTTAGTTATATATAGGAAATTTGAAAGATAGTCAGACAGAGCACACAAATACTTCCACACACAGATAAGATGCATATGTGAGTATCAATTATACACTTCCACACACAGACAAGATGCATATGTGAGTATCAATTTGTATACTAATTAAACAACACTCATTTAAACTTACAATAATCTTTAACAATATCATAATTCAAAGCTAGATCTATACTCCCCAATAACTTATGTATATGTAAAATAAAAGATATATACATGTGTTGAAAGGTCAAAAAGAGCAATGACGTGTACTTGTCATGAGGTGCACTCAAAATAAATACAATACAACGATTATACGTAGTATAACGAAGTAAGGTTCGTATCCACAGGGAAAGGAATATTTATCTTTTATAATAACATTAACAAAAAGGGGGGTTTTGAGTTTGATTTAATTTAATTTAATTAACACTAAGATGAACGACTTGTGTGATTTAATTAATAGAGATGAGGATTTGGTTTTGCTTTTATCCACTTAATGAAATGTTCACCGATCCCGGTTATATCTTTAACTATCTTCCTCTCGAATACTCAATCGAGGAGTTGACGTGCACTCGTCGTTAGGTGCACTCAAAATAATTAATCAATACGACACTAATACGTAGTATAGTGTAGTAAGGTTCGTATCCACAGGGAAAGGAATACTTTTCTTTTATATAAATAGTAACAAAAGGGGGTTTAGATTTGTTTGCTTTAATAACACTAAGATAAACGACCTATATGAGTTTAATTTAATGAGATGGGGACTTGGTTTTGCTTTTATCCACTTAATGAAATGTTCGTCGATCCCGGTTATATCTTTAACTATCTTCCTCTCGAATACTCAATCGAGGAGTATATCCAGTTCATCGAGGGTAGTTATTAATAACGAGATGCGTTCACTAATAAAACTTACTATCGAGTCAATATAGAACAAGCGCCGTATATTAACTTGATAGTAGCAATAAACTTAAGATGAAAACCATTGAGATTGATAACCTCAACACAAGCGGTTTATTGGTTTAATCAATATAATTAATTCCTCTTGGAATATTAACCATGAGATGCATGCGTTACTATTCCAAGTTTACTACCGTTGAAAGAACCGGGTTAATAACAAGCGTATTAACCGATTGATTCTAGTAATAATTAATATGAGAAACAATACTAGTTGATACTTTAAGTAATGTTTAAGATATTAACATGAAATATGAATAGGAATTAATCAATACTCAAGAAAGAATATTAAAATATATGAATCCTACTATGATTAATATCAAGATGTTAACTAATTGTCATCTTAGTAACACTCCCCAATATTATCATAGAGGAAGAAATAGCTATTACTATAACCAATGTCAAGATGTTAACTAATTGTCATCTTAGTAACACTCCCCAACTTTGATATAGAGATAGTATTTTGAAAGAAAGAATTAATATTCAAGGAAGAAGATTAAAGAAAAAATAACTCACAACTTACAAATTCATTAAGCTTCAAAGTAGCAAAACCAAGATGGAAGAGTTTAGCTCCTCATTTGGAGACTAAACATGATGAAAAATATAAAGAAAGAGATATTCTATACTGAGCTTAGATGTACAAAGGGATTGGATATCTTTTTGTGAAGGAAAGGAGGTGTATTTATAGGTTTTTGGGATGGGATTCGGGTACTCGATCGGGTATATACATGGTACCCGATCGAGTATGTGTGTAACACCCGATCCGAGGCATACTCGACCGGTTTCAGGCTATTTTCTAAGTGTATACCCGATCGAGTATATAT